ATAAGTCCAACTGTGAAATTTTCTTGCTACTAAATATTCCACGGTCAACTGTTAGTGGTATTTTAACAAAGTGCAAGCAACTGGGAACAACAGCAACTCAGCCATGAAGTGATAGGCCAAGTAAAATGACAGAGCGGGGTCAACGCATAATAAAGCTCACAGTGCGCAGAAGTCGCCAACTGTCTGCAGAGTCAATAGCTAAAGACCTCCAAACTTCGTGTGGCCTTCAATTAGCACAACAGTGCGTATAGAGCTTCATGGAATTGGTTTCCATGGCCGAGCAGTGCATCAAAGCCTTAGATCACCAAGTGCAATGCAAAGTGTCGGATGCAGTGGTGTAAAGCACGCCGCCACTGGACTCTAGAGCAGTGGAGACGTGATCTCTGGAGTGATCAATCATGCTTCTCTGTCTGCAAATCCGATGGATGTGTCTGGGTTTGGCGGTTGCCAGGAGAACGGCCCTTGCCTGATTGCATTGTGTCAAGTGTAAAGTTTTTGGTGGAAGGGGGATTATGGTGTGGGGTTGTTTTTCAGGGGTTGGGCTTGGCCCCTTAGTTCCAGTGAAGGGAAATCTTAAGGCGTCAGCATACCAAGGCATTTTGGACAATTCCATGCTCCCAACTTTGTGGGAAGAGTTTGGGGATGGCCCCTTCCTGTTCTAACATGACTGCGCACCAGTGCACAAAGCAAGGTCCATAAAGACATGGATGAGCGAGTTTGGGAGTCCAAACCTCGACCTGATAGAACACCTCTGGGATGAATTAGAGCAGAGACTGCAAGCCAGGCCTTCTTGTCCGACATCAGTGCCTGACCTCACAAATGTGCTTCTGGAAGAATGGTCAAACATTCCCATAGACACACTCCTAAACCTTGTGGACAGCCTTCCCAGAAGAGATGAAGCTGTTATAGCTGCAAAGGGTGGGCAAACTCAATATTGAACCCTACGGACTAAGACTGGAATGCCATTAAAGTTCATGTGCGTGTAAAGGCAGGCATATCAATATTTTTGGCAATATAATGTGTGTGTGTATATATATATATATATACAGTCATGGCCGAAATTGTTGGCACCCTTGATATTTCTCCAGGAAATCATGTATTTCTCACGAAACGTATTGCATTAACACATGTTTTGCTATACACATGTTTATTCCCTTTGTGTGTATTGGGACAAAACAAAAAAAGGGAGGAAAGAAAGCAAATTCGACATAATGTCACACAAACCTCCAAAAATGGGCTGGACAAAAGTATTGGCACCCTTTCACAACTGCGGATAAATAAGAATGTTACAAGCATGTGATGCTCCTGTAAACTCACCTGGGGCAAGTAACAGGTGTGGGCAATATAGAAATCACACCTGAAAGCAGATAAAAAGGAGAGACGTTCACTTAAACCTTTGCATTGTGTGTCTGTCTGTGCCACACTAAGCATGGACAACAGAAAGAGGAGACGAGAACTGTCTGAGGACCTGAAACCAAAATTGTGGCAAAATATCAACAATCTCAAGGTTACAAGTCCATCTCCAGAGAACTAGATTTGCCTTTGTCCACAGTGCGCAACATTATCAAGAAGTTTGCAACCCATGGCACTGTAGCTAATCTCCCTGGTCGTGGACGGATGAGGAAAATTGATGAAAGATTGCAACGCAGAATAGTCCGGATGGTGGATAAGCAGCCCCAAACATGTTCCAAAGACATTCAAGCTGTCCTGCAGGCTCAGGGAGCATCAGTGTCAGCGCGAACTATCCGTCGACATTTAAATGAAATGAAACGCTATGGCAGGAGACCCAGGAGGACCCCACTGCTGACACAGAGACATAAAAAAGCAAGACTACAGTTTGCCAAAATGTACTTGAGTAAGCCAAAAGCCTTCTGGGAAAACGTCTTGTGGACAGATGAGACCAAAATAGAGCTTTTCGGTAAAGCACATCATTCTACTGTTTACCGAAAACGGAATGAGGCCTACAAAGAACAAAACACAGTACCTACGGTAAAATATGGTGGAGGTTCAATGATGTTTTGGGGTTGTTTTTTGCTGCCTCTGGCACTGGGTGCCTTGACTGTGTGCAAGGCATCATGAAATCTGAGGATTACCAAAGGATTTTGGGTCGCACTGTAGGGCCCAGTGTCAGAAAGCTGGGTTTGCGTCCAAGATCCTGGGTCTTCCAGCAGGACAATGACCCCAAACATACGTCAAAAAGCACTCAGAAATGGATGGCAAAGAAGCGCTGGAGAGTTCTGAAGTGGCCAGCAATGAGCCCAGATCTAAATCCCATTGAACACCTGTGGAGAGATCTTAAAATTGCTGTTGGGAAAAAGGTGTCCTTCCAATAAGAGAGACCTGGAGCTGTTTGCAAAGGAAGAGTGGTCCAAAATTCCGGGTGAGAGGTGTCAGAAGCTTATTGATGGTTATAGGAAGCGACTGATTTCAGTTATGTTTTCCAAAGGGGTGTGCAACCAAATATTAAGTTAAGGGTGCCAATACTTTTGTCCAGCCCATTTTTGGGGTTTTGTGTGACATTATGTCATATTTGCTTTTCTGCCTCTGTTTTATATTTGTTCCAATACATACAAAGGGAATAAAACATGTGTATAGCAAAACATGTGTTAATGCAATACCTTTTTTGTGTGAAATACTTGATTTTCAGGAAAAATATCAAGGGTGCCAACAATTTCGGCCATGACTGTATATGCAGTAATATAGTGGTATGTATTAAAATGTCCAAATAGTAAACAGAAAAATTTGACCCCAGTGTCAGATAGTGTTAGATTCCCCACCGTACTATCACAGTCCCACTATAAGTCGCTGATCACCACCATTACTGTTATAAAAAATGAATAAATAGAAATTCCATTTTATACTGTATACCATAGTTTGTAGACACTATAAATTTTACACAGACCAATCAATATACACTTATTAGGATTTTTTTTACCAAAGACATGTAGCAGAATACATTTTGGCTCCAATTTAAGAAAAAAATTAATTTTTTACACATTTTTTATTGGATATGTCTTATAGCAGAAAGTAAAAAAATATTGGCTTTTTTTCCCAAAATTTTTTATCTTTTTTTTGTTTATATAATAAAAAATAAAAAAACCCAGTGGTGATTAAATACCACTAAAAGAAAGCTCTTTTTGTGTGAAAAAAATGTTATAAATCTCATTTGCGTACAGCGTTACATGACCACGCAGTTAAAGTAGCGCAGTGTTAAATAGCAAAAATTGGCCTGGTCATGAAGGGAGTAAAACCTCCCGGAGCTCAAGTGGTTAGGGGATTGCAAACACTTGGTGCGTGAAAGTCCATATTAGGTATCATATGCCTATAATCTTCCTCCTTTTGTGCATTTTGATAAAGTTACGTCAATACATTTCGAGCAGGGGCGGACTGACCATTTAGAAACTCGGGCACTGCCCGAGGGCCCGGGGTCAGTAGGGGGCCCCATGAGATGCCCCTGGTACATAGACTTTTTTGAGTTTGGGCAAGGACACAGGGGCCCCATGATCCCCTATTGCCCGGGGGCCCCATGAGTTGTCAGTCCGCCCCTGATTTAGAGTATAACTGCAAAGCAAGAACAGAGTGAATCTAAACCAACTTCGGGGTATCAGCTCTGGCATCTATGTCCCCCATGCGATATATATGAGGGTGCAGGTAAGGCTAGGAGTCCACCTTGATTCCATGCAATCTGCAGAACAAGGTGAGAAATCTCAGCCACCGCATACCATGCAAGTCCAGTGTGTAATAGGTGATAACAGCCTCAGCCTAACCCCACCCAGTCCACGCCCTGACATGCTCTGCCCCGCCTATGAGGCTTATCTCCATAACTAAGCCCTGTGGGTGGGGCGAAACATGATGTGGGTGTGGCCTGAGTTAGGCTAAGGCTGTTATCGCCTCTTACACGCTGGGCTTGCATGGTGTGCAGTGGCTGAGATTTCTCTCCTTGTTCTGCAGAGCAAGAACAGAGTCCCAGTAAGTAATAACTGGCTGAGGTGTGGGGTCTTGTGAGCTGCTATGGTGTATGTAAAGTGCTAAAAATAATTTAAATATTCAAATGATACTAAAATTGTGATATCCAAATAAAATTAAATAAATTTATGTATAACACTGTGAAAAATGGGGTTCGCTTACACTCTACACATACTCATCCCATTGTGTCATATAAAATAAAGTCAAAAATAGTGTCGCGCTCTTCTATCAATCGAAAAAACTATGAGTGAATATATATATTGAATAAATAAAAGTGCAGCATCAAAAAAAATATGTCACAATATCACTGCAATTATATTGCTGCTGCACACAATCAATGGGATCAATCCCCCCTGATGAAGCCACGTGACCCGGTGGCGTAACGCATAGGGAGGGTCTCTGACGTCACAACGCTTAACGTTACATACAGAAAGTATTCAACTACATTGGAAAAACCTTACTGTGGATTAAATTTGTAACTTTTAATGCGGTTTTAACTTGTAATACATGTGAGTGCACTACTTTATTTAAGTAAATTAATTTTAGAGGATAAGGCACTATATTCTTTTATTACATTTTGTGGCCTATGGAGAAAAATCCCTAAGGAAGCAAGGAGACCCCCTAGCGGGAAGAGGGATATTTCCGTCCATCCATTCGGCTGCAGGAAAATCCATAAGGAAGTGAGGGGACCCCCTAATGGGAAAAGGGAACACTCCGCTCATCCATCCATCCATCCCAGGGAAAGAGGAATAATCCAATACATTTATCACCAAGTCCAATTCAAGGGACACAAGCTTTTTATGACCTCACTTAACGGTTTGGTCATATACACCAGGTGAGAGCAAAGCTGGTGAAGGTGCACAAAATATTTATTTTATGCTTGATGAACTGCATGGATATTATTAGAGATGAGCGAATTATTCAAAAATCGATTCGACTGATTCGGCGAATTTGTGAAAAAATTTTGATTCGAGTCGAATATATTCGCTGCGAATTTAACTTATAAAAGGGTGTTTCTAGGCTTCAGAGAGCCTTTATATTAGTGCAGAACACTGTACCTTTAATTTAAATGCCCTTGGAGTCTGCTGGGGAAGAGAAATAATACTGACAGTCAGTATGACATGCAGATGAGTGCCGTCGATCTTAGAATCACCGCACACTTCACTCATTTGGGCAGTCACGGGGCCAAAACCAGAGTGTGGAGCCACAGTGTGGCGGTGGAGGCAGCAGCAATAGGAGGCCATACAGCACCCTATGACAAAAATGGAAACCACCAGCAGTGTGAGGAGACCTGAAAGTGGCACATGGCAGAGTGTGGCGATGGAGACAGCAGCAATGGGAGGCCGTACAGGGACCCATGACACACTCTGGACCTGGCAGCAGCATGAGGAGGCGGTATAGGGGCCCATGACAGATTACGGGCCTGGCAGCAGCATGAGGAGTTGGTACGGGGGCCCATGGCAGATTACGGGCCTGGCAGCAGCAATGGGAGGCCGTACAGGGACCCATGACACACTCTGGACCTGGCAGCAGCATGAGGAGGCGGTACAGGGGCCCATGACAGATTACGGGCCTGGCAGCAGCATGAGGAGTTGGTACGGGGGCCCATGGCAGATTACGGGCCTGGCAGCAGCAATGGGAGGCCGTACAGGGACCCATGACACACTCTGGACCTGGCAGCAGCATGAGGAGGCGGTACAGGGGCCCATGACAGATTACGGGCCTGGCAGCAGCATGAGGAGTCGGTACGGGGGCCCATGACACACTCTGGACCTGGCAGCAGCATGAGGAGGCGGTACAGGGGCGGATGACAGATTACGAGCCTGGCAGAGCAGCAACTTGGACAGGAGGACGTTCAGCTTCTGCACCGTCGGGTGCGTGCTCGCAAACCAAGAAAGACTGCTGACGGAATCCGTGAAGAGGAGTAGCAGGAGAAGGAGCATCTGAACGAGCGGAATATGCCAACAAGCGACAACAGGGGCCCATGACAGATTACGGGCCTGGCAGCAGCATGAGGAGTCGGTACGGGGGCCCATGGCAGATTACGGGCCTGGCAGCAGCAATGGGAGGCCCGTAATCTGCCACCACCCTATGACAAAAAATGGAACACACCAGCAGTGTGTGAGGAGACCTGAAAGTGGCACATGGCAGAGTGTGGCGATGGAGACAGCAGCAATGGGAGGCCGTACAGGGACCCATGAGAGACTCTGGACCTGGCAGCAGCATGAGGAGGCGGTACAGGGGCCCATGGCAGATTAGGGGCCTGGCAGCAGCTATGGGAGGCCCGTAATCTGCCAGCACCCTATGACAAAAAATGGAACACACCAGCAGTGTGAGGAGACCTGAAAGTGGCACATGGCAGAGTGTGGCGATGGAGACAGCAGCAATGGGAGGCCGTACAGGGACCCATGAGAGACTCTGGACCTGGCAGCAGCATGAGGAGGCAGTATAGGGGCCCATGGCAGATTAGGGGCCTGGCAGCAGCTATGGGAGGCCCGTAATCTGCCAGCACCCTATGACAAAAAATGGAACACACACCAGCAGTGTGAGGAGACCTGAAAGTAGCACATGGCATGAGACACTGTGGACCTGGCAGCAGCATGAGGAGGCGGTACAGGGGCCCATGGCAGATTAGGGGCCTGCAGCAGCTATGGGAGGCCCGTAATCTGCCAGCACCCTATGACAAAAAATGGAACACACCAGCAGTGTGAGGAGACCTGAAAGTGGCACATGGCAGAGTGTGGCGATGGAGACAGCAGCAATGGGAGGCCGTACAGGGACCCATGAGAGACTCTGGACCTGGCAGCAGCATGAGGAGGCGGTATAGGGGCCCATGGCAGATTAGGGGCCTGGCAGCAGCTATGGGAGGCCCGTAATCTGCCAGCACCCTATGACAAAAAATGGAACACACCAGCAGTGTGAGGAGACCTGAAAGTGGCACATGGCATGAGACACTGTGGACCTGGCAGCAGCATGAGGAGGCGGTACAGGGGCCCATGGCAGATTAGGGGTCTGGCAGCAGCAATGGGAGGCCCGTAATCTGCCAGCATCCTATGACAAAAAATGGAACACACCAGCAGTGTGTGAGGAGACCTGAAAGTGGCACATGGCAGAGTGTGGCGATGGAGACAGCAGCAATGGGAGGCCGTACAGGGACCCATGAGAGACTCTGGACCTGGCAGCAGCATGAGGAGGCGGTATAGGGGCCCATGGCAGATTAGGGGCCTGGCAGCAGCTATGGGAGGCCCGTAATCTGCCAGCACCCTATGACAAACAATGGAACACACCAGCAGTGTGAGGAGACCTGAAAGTGGCACATGTTTGGGGCATGATTCATGGCGGATTTAGTCAGTTGTGTCAGGAACTGGTGGTTTGAAATCCAGACTAATCCACGCCTGATTCATTTTCACAAACGTGAGTCTCTCCACACTTTGGGTGGACAGTCGTGTCCTCCGCGGAGTTACAATACCTCCTGCCGCACTAAACACGCGCTCCTATGCCACGCTACTGGCCGGGCATGACAGCCTTTCAAGGGCAAATTCAGCTAGTTGGGGCCAAAGGTCAAGTTTCGTTGCCCAGTAGTCAAGGGGATTGTCTACCTCGGTTGGCAGGGTGCTGTCCAAGTAGGCCCAAGCCTGTTGTTTGAGGTCCTGCTCCAGGTCCACCTGATGCTGCTGCTGCTGCGGCTGGTTAGTAGTTTCCTCACTGCGCTGGTGAAGAAAGCTACTCATCATCGACTGCAGACTGAGGCAGCCGCTGCTGGTGGAGCTGCCACTGCTCCTACCACCCCACCCCTCCCCTGCTGCCATGGCAGCGGAACGCGAGCGCACAGGGCCCACAGTGTCTGAGGATGGACGTTGGCGCAGAAAGGCAGAGACCAACTGACTACATAGGTGGTTTTTATAGTACGTTATTTTGGCCTCCCTCTCAGCAGGTGTGAAAAAGGCCACCATTTTTGAACGGTAGCGAGGGTCCAACAAGGTGGACAGCCAAAAGTCATCCCTCTGTCTGATGGTTATTATTCGGCTGTTGCTACGCAAGCAACCGAGCATGCTATGGGCCATTTGTGCCAAGGAATGCGAGGGACTCCCTGCCTCCATCTCCACAGCATACTGCCACGGTGCGTCTGGGTCCTCTGTCTCCTCCTCCTCCTCCTCCTCTACCAGATGCTCCTGCTCCTCCACTCCTGTCCGCTGAGTGGAAAAACCACCCATTTCACTCAATAATTCCTGAGCACAAATGTCCTCCTCTACCTCCTCCTCTTCTTCCTGTCCTGCCCCACAGGGGTCATGTGGTGTTGAGATCTGTGCGCTACGTCTACCGCACCCTGACCAGCCATTGTTAACAGCATTTGTTCCAGGACGTGCAACAGAGGAATGACGTCGTTCATCCCATAGTCCTGCCGACTCACGAATAGCGTGGCCTCCTCAAAGGGCCTGAGCAAGCGGCAGGTGTCACGCATGAGCTGCCAATGGCTGACATCGAAGTTACACAGGGGAGTACCTTTATCCGCTTGTAACATCAGGAAATCGGTGATGGCCTTTCACTGTTCGTAAAGGCGGTCTAACATGTGTAGGGTTGAATTCCACCTTGTTGCAACGTCGCAGATCAGGCGATGCTGTGGAATTCCGTTCTGCCGCTGCAGCTCAAGGAGGGTGTGCTTTGCGGTGTAGGAATGGCTGAAATGCATGCAAAGTTTACGTGACATTTTAAGGATGTCTTGCAGTGGGATGGTGGATTTTAGGAACCGCTTGACAACCAGATTGAACACGTGAGCCATGCATGGCGCATGGCACAACCTTCCTTGACGCAGAGCAGACACCATGTTCTTTCCGTTGTCGGTCAACATGGTTCCGATTTTCAGTTTGCGCGGAGACAGCCATCTGTCGATTTCTCTGTTCATTACACTGAGAAGTTCCTCCCCTGTGTGACTACGTTCGCCAAGACATACCAGGTGCAGCACAGCGTGACACCGTTGCGCCCTGCACATGTGATATGCCGGTCGGGTAATGGGACTTGGCACGGGGGTGGCGGTGAGGACACGGCGGAAGAAGAGGTGGTAGAGGCGGACATCTTTGCCGGACCAAGGACGTGCAAACGTGGAGGCAAAAGCGGCGTGACCTGTCCAAGTTGCTGGGTGCGGCTGTGACGGCACCACATTCACCCAGTGGGCCGTAAATGACATGTACTGTCCCTGACCGTAGTTACAGCTCCACACGTCGGCGCTGCCGTGCACTTTGGCAGAGACCGACATTCTCAAAGACTGGCCCACCATCTCTTCTACATGTGAATGCAGGGCTGGCACTGCCTTTTTGGCGAAGAAATGACGGCTTGGCACTCTCCACCGCGGCGCAGCACAAGCCATCATTTCTCGGAAAGGTGCTGAGTCCACCACTTGGAAAGGGAGGGACTGCAGCACCAGCAACTTGGACAGGAGGACGTTCAGCTTTTGCACCGTCGGGTGCGTGCTCGCAAACTGTTGTCTCTTGGAAACGGATTCCAAGAAAGACTGCTGATGGAATTCGTGAAGAGGAGTAGCAGGAGAAGGAGCATGTGAAACGAGCGGAAGATGCCAACGAGCGACAACTCCCCTCAGCAGAGGTGTTGGAGCCTTGACTGGCTGATAGAGGGCGATTGACGTCGGGTGACGGAGCAAGTAATGGAGCGGGTGATGGAGCGGGGGCTGGGGCAGGCAGAACCGCCGTATCTTTATTCACGGTTTTCCCAGGCCACCAAATGGCGACGCTGCATATGCTGACGCAACGCTGTAGTCCCAACATTGGCCCCCTGGCCACGCTTGACTTTCTGGCCACATAGTCGACATACGGCTACGTTTACTTCCTCGGGCGGCTTGACGAAAAAATTGCCACACACCGCCGAGTAGGAAACTTTGCCCCCGATACTCCTCACTGGCTGATTGCTGCTTCCTCCGTGCACACCGGCACCACTACTGGCCGTGGTGGTAGGCTGCAGTGGAGCTGGTGCTGTACTCCGTGGCCGTTTGCCTCCACTGACACTGCTGCGACCCTGCTGCCTCCTGGGCAACCCACCGACTGTTTTGCTCGCTGCAAGCTGCCACCCTCTTCTCCTGATGATGCGGAAGCAATAGCCTGATGACGACGAGGCTGCCAAGTGCGATCAGCCTCATCATCATCAATTAGGGTCTCCGCCTCACTACTAGCCCCCTTGGCTGCGTGTGGGTCAGGAGACAGACCTGTCTCTAGACCGGCTACCGAGCCACTCTCCTCGCCACTACTTCTTCGCCTGGCTGCTGAAGAGGCGGATGTCTCCCCCCGTTCCTGACCGCCCTCTGTTAGCTCTTCCTCACTGTACAGTGGGGCTGAGCCCACAGCATGCGATACTTCGCTTGGTGAGGGAACACCAAAGGACAGGGGCAGGTAGAGGACACGTGATTTCAGTGGGCTTGCTCCCGGGCCATGCCAACTAACGGTTGTGTCTGACGTACCCACCGACCGTTGGCTGTAGGTGTCAGAGGTGACCTGGGAAGAGGAAGACGACCGAGCCAACCAATCGATGACGGCAGGGTTGTCGGTGGAGACACGACCGCTGGATGACACCGGGAGCACTGGCCTCTGGCTGCGACTAGTGCTGCCTCGACCCCTTCCTCTGCTGCCACGTCTGCTCGCTCCTAAAACATTGCCTCCTCTGCCACTCCTCTGCATGTTGTCTGACATACTCTTTAATTCAACGATTCTGTGTCCCTGAGTAACAATTCTGTGTCTGTCCCTGAGTAACAATTCTGTGTCCCTGAGTAACAATTCTGTGTCCCTCAGTAACAATTCTGTGTC